TATCGGCTGGTGTCACGGCCCAGTTTAGGTGTCCCACCTTGCAATCCTCTATTGAAACTACCCCTGTGAAAGAACTGCACCCTGGCGGATAAGCTCCAATGGGGATGATTCCTGGTTCCGGTAATATCCGCCAGAGCGGCGATTCTGCTACCCTTCCACTATTCCTTCATCTACGCGTGCTAAGCATAAGTATTTGCGTTAGAATATCTTGTTTATTTTTGATGGATTTTTCCGAGTTTCGAAGATAAGAATCAGTCAGTAATTCCTTCATTGATAGCTGGCCAGCAATCAACGGAATTTAGTCTACTACAGAAATTACCAACCCTGTACAGACGACAGAATGTATACCTCTTAAACGGCAGGACGTCGTTGGTTGGCTGTTCTGTACGTATGTGCCTTATACTAGCCTATCCCTGTCTATCCTGACCTATCCAATCGTTGCTGACTAGACTAAGTATCGACCCCTTCAGGGTACCAACACTGTCTCGACTCTCGATTCGTTCTTTTTTCTGCTATAAAATCCCGCTGGTGTCCTTTCTAATTCCCTCTCTTGGATACCATTGATTCTTCTACACGGCTTTCCTTCTGCCACTACTTCCACGTAGCTGCCCGTCTTCGTTCTACTCTCGTCGATTTTCTTGAGGGGACTCTAATTCAGGCCGTCGCATTTAACGACGATAAATATCTGTTAACCGCGAGTCTCGTAGTCCCTGGCAGGAAATACCGAAGCAACTCGGCGAATCCAAGCACGAGCTCCTTCGGACCCGGCGATCTTATTGATTGTCTTAGGTTTCCTGCCGCCACGCTTTCTCTCTCACCCCCCTCTCTGTGTTCATCTTCTTTCCTTCGCGTAGCCTGCACAGAAAACACTTAAAGACACATACACGAGCATACATGTACTTATTCCTCCCTGTCTATCTTTGTTTGGCTCGTACAGGAATAGGTACACGGGAATTGTCTTTTTACTTTCTCCCGCCCCTTCTGGCTTTACCCGACACCCCTCCCCGACTCCTTTACAATTCTCCTTCTCTGTTTTCGAAGACTTTCATTCTCAGTCTCCGTCTCGCTCCTCGTATTTCCTTCTACCGAGTATAGCAGAGCTATAGTCGTCGACGACTAATGACCGGCGAGTTACGTGTCCGGCTAACTTTGCCCCGTGTTCGCTGAAACGACCGATCTACGTGATAAAGGAACAAGAGAGCGCCGGATGAGGGATAAGGGGGATGGTTCGGACACTGCGCGAAGGAGAAAGCAAAGATTTGAAGGATGTCCGAGGTACAAGAAGCGAGACAGACGGCGAAAGGGGGAGGAACGGGAGATATAGTTGGACAGGAGCCTCTGCCAATGTCCTATTTAAAGCTGTAGGGGTAGCAGCAGCTAGCTGACTGGTAATTTACGAGCTTATACCAAAAAGTTGGACACCTTGGGGATGGCTCCGCACTTTGACACGTGACCTACTTTTATCAAGTTACGTAATTGATCGTCTCGCGCCTGCTCTGTTTGCATCGCGAAATCTACCCCCTTTCTCTTTCTTTCCCGTTGCTTTCATAACTTACGTTACCTTCCGCTGTCCCTTTCCGTCTTCCTCTTCTATGCTACCTTCTATGTTACCTCGATCTTTCTTTTTATTCTTAAGATTCCTCTATTTCCCTTTTCATCCTTGTATCAAATTTTGTAAGAGACATTTTCTAGTATACAGCATTTTATAATCGTCTGCCGACATATCTCTTCCATCAGTCGAATTTCTTTAATGTTTTTTTCATTTAATATTTATAAGTGTAACATAGCGTATTTTTTTTTTTTTTTTGAGAGAGAGAGAGGAAGATTTCGCACGAATACCTCAATTTTCAATTGAAAGTAGTCCTGTACTCCTTGGGATCGATAGACAAAATGACGGAGATGGGCGAGCGACAGCTCTATTTATAGTGCATTTAGCATATGAGACCTTTCGGTTATTAGCCCTTTCAGCTTTGCGTGCTGACCTAAATGACTTGCAATTTAAAACTCGTACAACATATTGATCTTCAAAAGCGTTACCCTCCCGTCGTTGGCCCGTCGGGATTTAATTGTTTCTATTCGTTACTTGGAAACTATCGCGGAATTTGGTGATTTATTAGGATGGTGCATATGAAATGTCTTCATCAAACATAGATTTCATTTCTGCAGTAAATAATTTATGAATTACTCTTACACATTCTTGAATGATTACATAATTTTATTGTTCCAAATGCCTGCATTATAAATAGTCTTCGAATTCCATTTAAGCTGATGGTACAGTGCAAATGTTGAATATAAGTGTTTTACATTGCAAAGAAATCCGCAAATCTAATTATAAATCTTGTTGATATACACGAAATAATTTCATTTCCAATTTGATTCATTATCGTGGACGATAAGACAAAAGTATGATAGATGATTCTCGACCGGAAAATTCGAACCTTTCGAGACAAAACGACATTTCATACGCAGCAGCCTAATATAAGCGTCGATTGTCCCACTGTACAAGAGAAGCATTCTATCAGGACGTGAATGCGATTCTCAAACCAAACCGGTGCGGCGCCGGGGTATTCCGTTCTTCTATAGGCGGAACGATAAATCTGTCGGAAATGAATTCAGCTATACGTAATGTTCCATTTCGATGGTTACTCGGAAATTATGGAGTCGTGGAGTATGCGAGTAAAGTCGGCGCGATACCAAAAATTAGTTGGCTGTCCAGGCAGCAGAAAACAATAGGAATCGTACGCCGGTCGCGCAGCTAGAAATCTGTGCACCTTGCGCGTTCCACTTTTGTCCACGTACTTATCTAAAAATAGGTTCCGTTTCTATTTCTCTCGATCTCTATTTTCCAATTTATCCGCTGCTACGTGGTATCACATACCAGGTATAAATCGAGCGGCCAAGCCCGTGCAAGCGCGCACGGGATTGTTCCATCGCGCGGCGAGAGAAGGAAAAGAAATGTAATGAAAAAGCGAGGGAGCATTCTGATTCTATTAACGGTGATATCGGGCAGACAAAATGCTAAGCCCGTGAGTCTGCGCGATGCCCAAATAATGTATAAGGCCGTCGGCATAAATCGACACTACGGGGAAGGATTAATCAGGGATGAAGCTGTCCAGAGACGAACCTGTCCAGGCTTATTTCGTTTCGTCAGCATGCTCTTCGTTGGGAGATCCTCTCAATTACGAGGTCCTGGGTAAATTACGAGCTTATGCGAGAAAATCCTCGACGAGCAGCGTTTGCGCCCACCCCTTCGGTTCTCGCTGCACACGCTCTCACACGTGCATCTGTGTAAACAGACCACACACGCTCACCCCAAGAGCCTAATTCAGACCTAACGGATTATACACGTGAATTCACATGCATATACCCTTTGCTAGGTGTGCACGCTAGAGCTTCGCTTAAATCTATATGTACAAATACACGTGCCCGTGAACCCATTTATTAATCATATTCGTGACGGAAACTCGATGTCCGAGTGATTTGGATCTTCTTTTCTTTTTTTTTCTGCTTTTTTTTTATCGCCTATAGAGGGACCAGTTTGCTGGGGTCATTGGGAGATGGCGGAGGTTCCATTAAAATTCGACGCGAACCTTCAGCGAGAATCCGATGTATGCTGTGTCATGCCCTGCTTATAGCTCTGTACAGCCTTAGCTTGCAAGTCTGCAAAAGTACGACTGTCATTGTACGTGTGGAAAATACGTGTAGGCGCGAAAGCAGCCGCTTATAACCTACGACGAGTCCGTAGGTTGTGAGTGGAATATGGTTTAGGGGTTCGGAAAGAGGGGGACGAGAGAGCCAGGGGCTGCGCCTATGTGTCCCCAAGCGGGAGGCTCTGCTCAACATTTTGCTCCTCCATTTCTTTTTTTCCCTCCCCGGAGAGTTCGCTTTTTCATGTTCCCTTTACCTGCATTCTTTTTTTCTTCCTTTTTTTTTTCTACTACGAATCGTTCTCGATTCGTTAACTGGTAACACGTTGAAGTCTCTTTTTTTCATTGACTGCTGGAAGCTTCTATGCTGAGTGCAAATATTGATGGCAAGTCGGAGGAAACTTCCCCGTTGGCAGTGGATAGAATGTCAGGTGTTCGATAAATGCTGAATCACTGCAATTTTACATTTTTAAAGTCCTGCCCCAACCGCCGTAGCCTATTTCTCAGCGAGCCGCGTTGAAAATCCTCGGTGAGAAAAAAATGTGGGTTGCCCTTTTTTTTGTTCCTTTTTCTCCACCCCTAATTTCCACAACGTAAAGCCGATTTATCGTCGAATTTGGCGGGAACGTTTTCTCGCTTGTTCCACTTAAACTACATAGCTTGACTAATTAAAAAGGAAGGGAGGAAGAGGAAAAAGAGGAAAACAGGGAAGTTGCTTCTCGGTGCCGCGTTTGTTCGTCCTCTTTTTTTCACCCTGTCCCGGATACTTTGCGCCCAGCGGTTCTCGAGGTGCTCCCGAGTCGAAAGCCTTGCAAATCCGGCGTAGAGGAAGTAACGAACGATAGGGATTCGTTAAACGCTCGTATAAAGAATTATCCTGCATCGCGTTCTAAATGCCGCAGAAGGTCGGATAACAATCGATTATTGCGGCTCGACACGGGACAACACTTCACGGTTCCACCGTGCGAGAAGATTCTGCCAGGGGAAATGGAGGGATAGTAGGTAGAGAAATGTTACGCTCAGGCATTAATTTGCATCCTCGGTAATCCTTAATTTACAACTCCGTCGGAGTTTTCCAGAGGGTAGCATCGGCGAGTTCTCCGTGGAATTGGCTCGGTGTGCACTCACACCTTAACGAGACCGAACGTATAGAGGAGAGTCGCTGCCGGGTTACGCGGTGGGGTAGGTAAAGGCTGGCGAGCGAAGTGGGGGTTGGATGTTGAGGGTGCAGCAGACGAGGAGGGTGAGATGGTCGGGTGCTACGAGGGTGGAAGGAAAAGGGATTCGGCAGACAAGGGCTGTGGCTGGGGCTGGATAGTCGGACTGGTTCCTCTGGTGGGGGTCGTGAAATGGTGGAATAGGCGGAACAGGGGTAGGGAACAGTCGCTGAAGGATGAAAAGAGGGGCGATGGACGGAGGTCGAGAGTCGCGGGTTGGCTCACTCTGCGGCTCCCGCCGCTCGGGAGCAGACACGCGGGGCCAAAGACTAATTCGAATCTATTTTATTAACAAAACAAAACATACACATTTGTAAATAACACTAAACAACACGATATTCACACGTCTCCTAAAAGTCTCTTACCTACTTTAAAAAGAAACTCTTAGACCTCTGTAAAAAAAAAACGAACGCGGAACGCAAGCGACAAAGTAACTATTTCCAGTTCTCAAGCAAATCGTTACGAAGCCTATAACGCAACAGAAAGGAGGATAAGCGAGCGAGAGAGCGAAAAAGGGAGAGAGAGAGAGAGAGAGAGAGAGCAAGAGAAAGAGAGCGATAGAGAGAAAGAAAGAGGTAGAGCGTCTGAAGGAACAAGGAAAAAGAAGGGTCTATTTTCTGAAGCCTTGGACCACTTCTAGTGTCGGTGGAGGAAGAGCGCGTGTAAAAGAAAGCGAGAAAGTGATAAACAGCAATAGAAAGCAGGAGAATCAGGACAGAAGGGAAGAGAGGGAAGCAAGGAAGAACCAGAGGGGTGGAAGTAAAGGATTGAACGCGGTAAAAGGCGATTGTAAAACGTGTCAGCTGCGGGCGAATCTCTTTTTAAGTTCTCTCTGTACTGTGTGACCCTTACATTATTTTGTCCCTCGGATAGGGACAGGTTCAGTGTTGTAACTTAGGATATAAGAAGAATAAGAGCTCCCGGAACGCACAATAAAAGGGGAAAGGAATAAAAAAGGGAAAAAGCAAGAAGAACGAAAGAGAAAGTGTATGCTTGTGAGTCAGAGAGAGATTCGAAGAGAATACTGAGGCAAAGATTCTAGCAGGAGGACAGAGACAATTTCGAAGAGGACGTTGGGAGACAGGACAGTTGAAAGGGAAAGAAAGGAAACCAAGGTTCGCGAGGGACTCGTTCTGGGTTCTATCCACGAGTATAAGGATACGATGGGGCACTAGTTTTTTATATTACTACGAAGAAGTTATTTAAAACGAACAAAAAGTGTGAAAGGCACGGAGGCGAATTGCAATAAAGAGCAGCGTACGAAGATTCGATCGTTTATCGCGTTGTCATTTTCATAATTCGGTCTCCATCTGTGTCGATAAATATCTGTAACGTCACTCGTGATCTATGTGACTTGCTTTCAAGCGGCGAATCTGAATTGATTCACTTGCGATTGAAACGAGCAACCTGGCCCGCGTACAGAATCTTTTTGGGGATATGTCCTGCCGTTCTAAGGGGAACCACCACCCACGTGCACGAGCCTCACGCAGAGGACAACGTCAAGCGAGTCGTGTTTCCATCCTAGAACCCGGGAGCAAGCTCTCCTGACAAAAAGAGTGCCGTCGTATTTTGTCACGGTCCAGAGTCGCAAACACCGACAATTGTCGGGTCGCCATATCAGCCGCACAATCGTCCAAGTTCACGAGGAGCCTGGGGATGTCTGCGAGATCACAGAAAAGATCGCGGTACGCGTACGTTCAAGGACGATGACGATCGGCCACGATCGGTAAGATCCAAGAAGCGGTCGCTCTAACGAGCGCCTCGGAAATGGCGGGCTTCAATCATTCGAATCCACAGCGTGTCGTCTATCACGCGACCTACCCGACGCCTCTCGCACCAAGTGAGTCCTCATTTTCGCCTGCCACGGCCAGGATTATACAATTTAATCCTCCGAATATTTTCGAAACCTATGACAAAGTATCAAGGGGCTTGTACGCTGCAATTGGTATTTTATTTCATTTTTTTCCATTATCTCCGCGATAGTCAATCATTTTAGCTTCCTTTCCTTTGCTTCCGCTTTCGCTCCGATACATTACTCTTTAAGATCGAATCTTTAATACGAATCAGATTTTTACACGATCATCCGTATGAGACGTAGAAATTTATCGAGAAACGAGAAAGTAATTGCATCACAGCTGATATCAATAATATTATTGGCTATTGCGGGGCGATAAAGCAGAATTAATGATCTGATGTTTTCCTTCATGCCTCGAAATGACGATACATTTCATTCCTCTGAATACGTTCATTCGCATAAGTGAACAAATTTCAAACTGTTTATGCTCATTCTTAAATTGTTAGTTAAATCATTCTATGTTACTCTAAGAATTAATTCTTAATCCTGAACTTCTTCTAATATCGTACTTTTAATACTTTTATGGAGATAAAGATCTTCTCGCGTTCTGTATTTTCTTCATATTTCATTTCTCGGAAAACAATATCATGCACGTGAAAAGAGCATTACTTTTAGAGTACGTGTTCTCTTACTCTAGTACATGGTTTCTGTTACGATCGATAACAACTTCGATCCGTCGCATATAAATACGACTAATGATGTGTTATGCAAACGTCTAAGCTTTCGTCGAAATAAATATGCGAGCATTAATTATGGTGACTCGCGTGATGCAAGAATACTCGCGCTAGTAGGCGAACGGTAAAGGTAACTGAAACTTTTAGCATATTGGGATTCGTTCTTTTATTTTTCATTAGGATTCTCATAAAAATTTCGAGTCATTCAAAGTGGGACGATCCTTTCATCCCTTCTTTTTCATCTGTTTAGACGGAGATCCGATAAAGCTTCCGGAGAACCTGGAGACCTTGCCACGAGCTGAACATTTTCCAACCCAGAGACATCGATGGAACACCAATGAAGTGAGTCAAAAGTTGTTTTCCCTCATCTATTTCTATCTAAATTTTACAAGTCGTTTCGTTTACCGTTTAAAACGTTCGTTACTTGATGAAAAGAGACGAACTTCATTCACGCGTGAAATGAATTTCGTGAAGTTGAAAAGTAAAATGTGTTAATGGTTGGAAAAAAGGTAACGTCTCGGTTAGATTCGAACAAAAGAGCATAAGGTGTCTAGTAGCACCAACTGAGATAGAAATTTACACGGGATTCCAGTAGGCACAACTGGAAAGTAAATAGCGACGTCGCAACGGTGGCTCGTACGTACCGTCGGTGGTTAGAGAGGATAGATAGATGCTATCCGTTCGTGTGCAAAACTCGTGTCGGTGTGCAGGAGTGCACATACCAACACGTGGAGCATCGTGCACTCGTAGGTGTACCGATGTAGTCCACTGCTACTCTGACCCCGGTCGGCCTCCGATCAATAGCTGGAGCCAGCTAGAGAGCTCAGTCGAGCCGAGTCGAGTTTTCAGTTCCGTCGAGTCGAACCCAATTGTGAGTTTATGCTTACCTCATTGCTATCCCTCGCCAACGATAACTCCCTCTTCGTCTGCGATCTTTCATCGCATTCTACGCGTTTTCCACCTTTCTCCCCTCTTTTCGCGAGCCACCCTCTTTAAATGCTATCGGAAATTAAGGATATCCGAGGAAAATCTGAAACTGACGTCAACGAGACTCGGTGTTCCCTTTGTCTCGTTCCTCCCCAGTATCTGTAGGATTAATCTTACGGCCCAGGGAATATTTCGGATCGATCTCGTACTGCGATGGCGATGTTTTCGAATTCTTTGACTGAAATTATTTTCTGGCTTGCGTTTAATTGATCCGCCGCTCAAGCGTGGAAGTCCACTCTTGTTTAGCTTATCTATTGTAGTCCAACCTGCACGGTTAATGAGGTCAACCTGAAACTCGAGCACTGCTTCATCTTTTTGTACTCCATATCGTCTAAGTTCCCACGTTCGACGTGAAATTGGTGGGACCAGAAATATGAATGAATCCGTCGTTATCGGCTATTTATTCTTACTTCGAAACGAATACGACGTGTCGTTATTAATAGCCTGCGACTTTTTATACAAAATAGAATGTTTAGAAGATGGAATTAAGAAATAAAATGTAGATATTTTCTTTTGATTTTCTTTCGATATTTAATATATTTGTTTTGTAATATATTTGCTTTTCCTTCGATATTTAATATATTTGTGCATATCGAGTGCATTTGTAAACCCGCAGTCCAGCTACTAATATTAGGCTAATTAAATTTTCCTTTTTTCACTTGCTCGGAAAAACCGCAGAACTGATGGAAGCGGGGCGCATCAGCAATTCATGGCCGCGAAACTATTCATAGGATGATGTTCTTAGGAAGTTAACGGAGCAAGTTTTTGTAGCACGAGAAAGTTTACAACCCCCCTGTATATGCAGTTGAAATCCTTTGCTGAAGTCCGCTCGTCGTCATCTTATTCCCTCGCCTGCTTTCTTCGCTTGCCTTTACCTCGCCGCTTCCGTCGTGTCACTTAGTCTTCTTCAACGCTATATCTCTCGAGCTTTCTGACAGCATATGCGAGTATGTCGTCATTTTGATTCTGAGCCCACTCATTCTTTACGGCTGAACGTGGAAGTGTTCATGAATAAAAGGAGCCGCCGCGAGATAAATGGTGCAACCTAAACTTCGATTTTGACCGCATTGCGTTCCCGGAAAGTTTAATCAACCGGCTGGTCAACTGGCTGGAAATGAAAATTCAATTGATCTAACACAGACTCCATTGTTCAGATCTACTGTTACCGGGACTGAATTTTTATTGAACCGATGCCAAATTCTAAGTTGTTGAATATTGGTCGCAGGACGCAATTGAGTTTAAGCTTCAAACGGGCACAAAATCGCTCAATGTTCTGTTCTGCACCGAAGGGAATCAATTTCGTTTCTGCTCGTAGAATTCTTCCGCGGAAACTTTTCCTATTAACTTGTTTTAATAGCCTTGATTATACGGAATTTATAGTTTGGAACCAGAATTTATAGTTCGGAAAAAAAGCGCATACATACGTATGTACGTAACGTTATCGATCCTCAAAGAACGTCGTCGAGCTTTTCGTATTCTCGGTTTCTCCTCGCATCCAAATTGATGCTTGATAACTTCCCAAGATTTCTGTCGCACTCTTTCTATTCTTATTACCGTCGCCTGATGAGATCCCATTTGTTACCAGATGTAAAGGCGAATATATTTCGAGGAGGGAATTATAGTAATAGCTTTTAACATATATATAGAAAGTGTACCATTATTTAGCACGTTTTTAACATAGAAACGCATAATGACGTTGATTTATTAACTAGTAACAGACGAGTGTACGTTTCGAATGTGGAACGCTACTTTTATCTGTATGTCATAAAACCGTTGTCTGTTCTACTTGCATCTGATTTACACAACTACACAGATCGCGATAAGAATTGAAATATTAGGTTGCTGCGTATGAAACATCGTATGTTTCGAAGACTTTACATTTTTCAACTGACAATTATCTATCCCGTTTCGTCTCATCATTTATTATTACAGATTAAGTAGTCATATTGCATATCAATGAAATTTTTAGTTAAATTGCGAATTTTTTTTTTATATTTAGGCTTCCTTTTTTTTATTACAAGCCTGTTTTATCGGACTCTGGATTACTGTTAAATTTTTTGGTTCACGTTGATACCGGTCCCTTCGCCAGTTTCCTGCGATAACATTTCGTTTAATTGATGAGCACACGAAGCCACATGGCCTATCTGTAAGCGGAAATCGATCCGAAAACAATGTTTCTGTTTACTTATTGATTTCCGATTGCACCGGAGCATAAATGCATTGAATAGTTACAGTTTACTTGGACACACAATGCCAGTCGACGCAATTAAACGTTAGTTTGCACTGTCAGTAATGCAATTTCCGATTCGACCGTTTTTCAGTAAATTCTATTTGAACGTAACACCGAAATTGATTTCGGCAAATATGACTGTTATTATTATGATGTCAACATTTGTCTGCTCCCGACTACGTTCACTCGAAGCACTACTGATTTTCCACATTTCTCGTGAAATGAAAATAAAATGATCGTCCGAGTGAAAACTTTAACTTGATCAATTTTTTATAACTCTTTCAAAGAATGGCTCGATTTTCGAGATAAACTATGCTTAATATTATTAATCACAAGTATCTTTATCCTGTTGCCAAACTTACAGACAGACTCTGACGAGAGTTTTGGCTCGACGTGGACATTCCTATGACAGCTACTTTCAACGCTTTTCCTTGCCCGACTCCATACTGACTTATACTACTTGCAGAGGTTCCGAACTTCTGTTACGCTCGGGTCGTGAGAAGCGATCTTATTTTTTTTACGTGCATATACTGTAATATTGATTAATATTCCTTGTCGTAACAGAAATGATTATCAAAACATTTAGCTAGTTATTATAATAAATGTAATATTTGCCTGACTTCTAACAAGGTAATTTTACTGTTTATTATGGACTTCATGCATTTTGCTTACATAGCATTTGGCAGCCGTTCAAAACTCTTCTTACGAATTATGCTCTCAACATGTTAATTTCATACGGTAATGTATGTTTGCTAACTATTTATTTATAACGTTTATTAGCATTTCACTCGTATTGTTTGTATAAATGACTAATAGTAAGTAAAATAATACGATGAACGAAGACTTGTTCGACTGTATACACACTGTATAGTGTCTATTCATCTGCTCCATTCATTTCTTTGGTATTGATTATCAATTACCGATGAAGTTCCTTTGGTACGTATTGGTAAACAGGAAATGTTGGAAGGACGTAACATCCTCGTTTTGGGCGTCGGAAGGAGAGTCGATTTATCGGTCCTTTTCCATTCGTAAATCAAGGAGAATGCATCCTTTCCGGTAACACGCGGGACAGAAAGCGTTTCGTTTACGTATCCGTTAATTTACTGGAATCTATGAGCTCTTTCATCGTATCTTCAACGGCGTGCAGGAACTTCTCTTGAAGTCCACCGCGGACGCGTTTATTACGAGACAGAATTTGCATTTGTAATTTTCGTCACATGAAGAAGGGGGAACTAGTGGATATAATTGTTCGGCTAACGAGGATTTCGATATCGCGATGACATTTTTGTGAGTCTGACTGGCGTTGCATGGAAGCCGACCTTGCACGCAACATAACGATATGCACTGTCAGACGCTGTCTTTCAAGTTAAACTATTCTCCACGTTGTCTGACCCATTTCACGTCTGGCACGTTACGAAATATGGTAACGCATAGAAAGTCAATTCACGCTATCTCGGGCGAAGAACATTTCGTTTTCACCGGGGTGCGATTTAATTAAATACGATACGATCACCGTTAATATGCCAAGTCGAAGATAATATTAGATCGGCGCATATTAACATTGTTTCTAAAATTCATATGTATCAGTCTGATAATTCCGCTGGTCTCAGTGCTTACGTAATCGTTATCGTGAAATAGAGGGCGATTTTGATTCGAGTGAGAAACGATCAGTGATCATACGATGCACCCACCCTTGCTCTCTCTTGACCTTTCTCGTCATTGATCAGTGGTCTCGTAATTATAGCCACAAGGGTGGAAACGTGCCTCGTGAAATCACGGCGAAAGTCGGGGCCGCAAGTTCTAGCAGTTTCTGCACGGGGGGATAGCCGCATAATGTATCACGGACAGAATGCAAATGATCAATTAACTAGCTGTAAATCAATGCAACGTGGTGGGCAAGCTTTATCTAGTTCCACTGTCTGCGCTAGCTTAATGGTGGGCTGCGAGGGTTTCTACGCCAGGCTTTTATTTCATTCCTCCGCCTCCATCCACTCCACTCGCCTGTTCCGCTTATTCTCATCCATTCCTCGTTAAGAATATTTATATCCAGACCACGTTCGCTCGAGGACCCCGGGAACCTGAAGGCTCACCCACGGGACGGCGTAAAGATATTAAGCACCCTTAACCATACTTCGGTCTTCTCGTTTCTTTCCGCAATTACCTCTTTGTTAACGAGACAAAGGTTTCTCCTAATTGTTCAACCTATTTTCTGTTTAAATTCTGCACACTTGAGATAACCATTTCACACCAATTTTGTAAACACAGTTTAATGAAAAATTAACATCACAAAGGTTGAGTTCTGTGTTTTATTTTCTTTGGTATGTAAAATAATTTTCAGAATTTTTTTGTGAACCTTCTTTTTTTTTAAAAGTGTCGCAGTGAAGCGCAATCTACATAGATCGTTCGAAGTGTCATTGAATTCGTTAAGCTATTGCCACGGTCAGAACGAACCAAGCAACATGCATCGATACAAGATGCAAGCGAAGTCTCTCGATGATAGCGGTCACGTAATTTAAATTATTCCACGGCATCCGTCCTGTTCTAGAGAACATTTGCGAAATCTCACGGGCGAATCTCCAACTGGTCGGAATCCCTTTCGGCGTAGCTCGTCGAATTGATCGCGAGCAGTTTTCGAACGAATGCGACACGCGAGGCGCCGCTGATTGAACTTTATATCAACACCGAGAGTTTTATTGCTACCCACCTTCTGTGGTTAGGGGATCAGAATCAGCTGCAGTTTGGCATTCAATTTGCATTTCTCCACGTCAGATCGCGTGCAGCATTCTTTCTACCAGCGTACTTACATATTTCAACTGCGAATATGTGTTCAGTTTTTTTTTTTTTCCGACCAGGGGTAGTTACTTCCTTCCCAATTCTGTCACTGGCCAGTGGAAATTGCGGATAATGATCTCCGTCGTGCTTCGAATATTTATGGCATCAAATTCTAATTCCCGACGAGTCCCCCTTTTCTCTTCCCACCTCGCGCACGTCTCGTTGCCTTTTCTACTTCTTTGATCGCATGTCTACTACGGAAAACGACGTGTCATGATTGACCATGCAAAATCTGTTCACTGGTAATTACACAATTTTTGCCCCGTCGTCGGTTCTTACCACGTTTCTTCCTTTCCTTCTACATTATCATACGTCTCGTTTCGTACTAGCTGGTTCTTCACTTGGAAAATCAATAAGGACCGTGCAATATCCGAGTGGCTATTATTATCATAAATATGCAAGAAACAAACACGCACAATTGTTCTATGTAGTATACAACTTACTCAAATATTATTTTCCTCTCTCAAAATATGATTTCTCTTCGGACGTGTAAAATATAAGGTCTTCATTTATTTATTAAATAACGAAAAATTATCCAGGTAATATTTTGTAATTGTTTTTGTAAATCCTGTTCGTATTATTGATGAATATCAGAACGAGCTGTGCAGACTCTTTTTACATCTAATATAATGATTAATGGACTTTATATAATAAAACTTTTCGCGATAGCTTCGAAATATATGAGAACATTTTGCACATCTGGCACCGTTCTGCGAATGATCATCTAGGTAGATGAGAGTTAGTAGATTGGAAGATTGAAATATGTATCGGCACGATTTGCAAAAGTAAGCGAAATCCTCGGGGAGGCCTGATGTCAGCAGGGCTGGTTGAAGATATATGTTTCTTCGAATTCGCATATCCTACTTCTTTCGAGATTGCCTTATCCATCTTCATCGTCTCCTGCACTTTCGAAGTGCATTGCTTACTATACATATAGCTACTGTGACAGAAAACGAACAGCGGGAAGAACTGCATTCACGCTATTTCAATAAAAAAACAAAATGATATGGTTTTGTTATCAGGAGATTGCTGCGATCTTGATCAGTTTCCAAAAGCACGCGGAATGGCAAAGTCGGGAGGTGAAGGTACGTCCTCGAAGTGGTTCGATGTTACTGTACTCGAGAAAGAAAGTCCGTTACAGGCGGGATGGTTATTGCTGGAAGAAAAGGAAAGATGGGAAAACTACACGAGAGGATCACATGAAACTGAAGGTAGTCCCCTCGTATTTATGACATGAAACCGAGATGATTTCTACCGGAGCTCGTGGAAAAGAGATATTTGTTTCTTCGATCGAATAACAGGTCCAGGGAGTCGAATGCATCTACGGCTGTTACGTGCATTCGGCCATCCTACCGACGTTTCACCGGCGATGTTATTGGCTACTACAGAATCCAGACGTCGTCCTCGTTCATTACTTAAACGTTCCTTATCCGGATGGTGATGCAAAGCTAGCGGCGCTGCCACCGTGTCTCGCACTGCCGCCAGACAAGAAGGAGTGGACGCGAGACGAGCTGGCATCTCAGCTTCGACCCATGTTCCTCGGTGGAGATGACGATCCTAACAATTCTCATCTCACGCAACACTCGAATCATCCTATCGACATGATAGTTTCTCAGCTGTTAGACAGGCAAAGAGCATCTTCCACTTCTTCTACTACCAGTACCCAGCTTGCACCTAGGAGACTAACACCGGACAATCAGGTATATTCCTCACTGACGATGCCCGGACCACGTTATTCCTATTTAATATTAACTCCAATGACCAGGTTACTTCGACTACCGGAGGTCAGCAGTCGTCAACTACAGCCTCGCCGGCTCCTCGCGTATACTCAAGACATTCCCATACGACTCAGAGTCAACAACCGGCTCCTCTAGTTTTAAGTTTGCAACAAATTCAAGGTGGTGGTGGTTTATTGATACTCAACAGTCAACCGTATCACCATCAGCACCAACAACAACAGCAGCAGCAGCAGCAACAACAACAACAACAGCAGCAGCATCAACAACAACACCAACAGCAGCAGCACCAACAACAACAGCAGCAGCAGCAACAACAGCAACAACAAAGTCAGCAGGTGGAAATGCAACAGGTTGCGGAGCAACAAATTGTGCAGCAGACGAGTGTGGATAGAGAACAGCAGACTCAACAGGAGATAGATGCTCAAGAGAATATGGATCGTAGCACGGTGCAATCGTTGCCAATCGGGGGCACCGAGGTCACCGATTTCGCCGAGACCTTGGATCTAAGTCAAGAAGATATTCAACGGACGTTATCGGCGAATATGATACCACCGTCTCCGTCACCTTCTCCGGCGGACAACAGTATGATCAACCCGATGGATTTCATCGATTCATCGGATGACGTTCTGGTTAATTTGGACGCGTTCGACGTGTTCGGTGACCTACCGGAGCTCCACGATTTTGAGGCCGAACAAACTAAGCATGAGGAAAGGGGTGGTTCGGATAACGATGTGGGATGTCATCCTGGAACAACCGTCCATATCGCAGAGTACAGTCCAGAATGGAGTTATACAGAGGGTGGTGTTAAGGTGAGTACATAATACGGGAGTAAAGCGGTTGTATGTATTTATTTGGGTCTGAAGATTAATTAAATTTGATGTTAATCTTTGTTACAGGTATTAGTAGCTGGTCCTTGGACCGGGGGAAGTAATTCTCAGTCGTATTCGGTGTTGTTCGATGCCGAACCGGTGGAAGCGTGTTTGGTACAGCCAGGGGTTTTGCGATGTCGTTGCCCAGCCCATGCACCGGGAATAGCTTCTCTTCAGGTGGCGTGTGACGGTTTCGTTGTTTCCGATAGCGTTGCTTTTGAATATCGTCGAGCGCCAACGACCGAGCCAAGTCCGGAACGAGCTCTTCTGGATCGTTTGGCGGATGTAGAGTCTCGTCTGCAAGGACCTGGTCCTCCAACCCCCGCTGCTCATTTAGAAGAACGATTAGTGGCATATTGTCAAGTTAGTATCTTGCGTCTAATTCCTATTATTTTGTACGTACGCATAGCTGTTACAATCTGTATCGATCGGTTTTGTCATATAAATCCCAGGATGCTGTTGTCCGTCCGTGGCGAACCGGAGCGGAACCCTTACAATCCGGTGGCCCTACTTTGTTACATTTGGCCGCTGGACTGGGCTACTCCAGGTTAGCCTGCGCGCTCCTTCATTGGAGAGCAGAAAATCCTAGTAGTGTATTAGATGCAGAAGTTGATGCTCTGAGGCAGGATAACACCGGTCTTACACCACTCGCTTGGGCTTGTGCAGCGGGACACGCAGATACTGCCAGGATCTTGTATAGGTCAGTACCTCATAATTTTTTCTTCTCATGAACGGTTTCATCTGGAGAACTATCTGCGTCTGTTGGAATAGATGGAACGCGATGGCGCTTCGTGTGCGGGATTGTCAGAACAGGACTGCGACTGAGTTAGCCGCTGAGAACGGGCACACGGCTATCGCAGAAGAATTGAATCGGCTCGAAGCGCGAAGGCAAGACGAGAGGCTTTTCTTGCGACCCGCCAGCCCTAATCCTAGGAGGCCATCTCAAGACAGCGGTCTCGATCTGGCGTTGTGTTAGTCTCGTTTGCTATTATACTGCCCTCTTCCGTATATATACACACGCACATACATTCACGTCCAACACAAGAATCACGGTTCCCTCTCCTATAAAATGACCCGCGCCATAAAATAATCTCTACCCAGTAAGATTTGTAGTACAAGGTTGTAAGTCACGCGAGCGTAAAATTAATCAGGAAACGTAGCATTAAGGGGTTTATCGAAAAACACAGGTGGCTCGCCGCTGCTGGACAACATGGAGTTGTTGCAAGAGGATGACTCGTCATTAGCCCTCAGCGAGCAGGGAATGGATAGCGCTCCAACCCCTCAGGAGACTGTAGGTCCGTACCTTCCTCGTTTCCCCTTCTGTTTGTCTGTCTGTCTGCCTGTCTATCTGTAACTATATATTATATATCATGTGTATATACATATGTATATATTCGTAACTCTGTTCTCTGATACTTACACTTATAGATTCATCGGCCTAGATAAAAACGTACTGCGCGGGCTGTGATCCGTAGTATTCCTAGCTAAAACTGCGTCCCCTTACTCTTCTGTCTCTCTCTTTCTGTCTATTTCTCTATGTTTTTTAACATATCACACATACACTCATACGCGTACACGACAAATACGCATAGTACATGTTCTTTTTTTTTCTGTCTCTTAATCTGTGCATACGAGACGACCGGATATGGTCCGGGCTCGCTGTCCTCTAACTCCTCTGAACTCTTGCAGCTTAAAGCAGTATTGGTGTTGCTTGGCCTTCGTAACTGCTGGTGTTGGATGATTGCTGTGTAACGTCTAAAACTTTCTTAGCCGCCTATTGTCGGCTGCTGACTGGGCGGTTCTCCGGGAGATAGACAATCTCGTCTGTGGGCTATGCTAACCAGTTTTAAAAGCGGATATTCGTGACAAAAGACTAAACTAATGATAATCTAATAAGCAAATTGGAAACTACGAGACAATTTACACGAGAACACGTGACCTATACGGCCGACTAAATCGGGAAAAACGCACACTGTTGAATAGCACGGGCTACGTCGGATAACCCGTGGAGCAGAACTTTCAACGAGCTGAGAAAAATATGATCCACGCTCGCCATCTGATTTGCCTGTTCGAAGACGTTCGATTCCATGTCGTGTAGATATTTCCGCAAACGTATACGAAATAATCAGCAATTCTTGGTGTCACACGTCTCGTTAACGTTCGATTTGGTTCATCGTAAAAATGTGTTCACAACTAACAAAAAAAGCAAAACAAACGAACAAAAACCTCGATGTTGTGATCAATGTGATTTCGGCGGTCCCGTAACACCTTTTTCGAGTTTGGCTAGGGTGGTGATTCCTTTTTATAGGGGAAGAAGACGCGAGGGTGCTGACATTGGCTGAGCAAATTATAGCAGCGCTTCCGGAAAGGATCAAGAGAGCGGAGGGCGATTCTCCGTCTTCTTCCTCGCCACCGCCTCCGGCACCGCCCTTGTCATCTCTAGAAGATGCTTTGATGGAACAAATAGTAAGTATTCATCAGACTCTATCTCCATTTTTTTTTTAAATCTCGATAAGATTTCGACGAGTGTCTCTATATCTACAAAAATCAATTATATCGTGCGGTGATCGTAATTCTTATAGCCGCTCGATTCCGGAGAATTGTTCGATTCGTATCGTGAGGCATCGATTTCGGATGCTGACGCCGATGCTAGTCCTTCGAGTCCATCTAGCAGCTGCCTCACGCCGGATTCGCCGTCTCCACCGCCTACCACAGCCGACTTCTGCGAGTTCTTACAGCTGCAGCTGCAGCTTGACGGCAGTAACGGTCACAACGGCCACTACTATTCGACCGGCGGTGACCGGAAGTTTGGTAACGTGATCGGCTCTGGAATTTGCGGTACTGTGACAGGTGGAGGTAACGGGAACGGTGACGGGAACGAAGCGGATCTGAGTAGGCTCACGCTGTCCGATCGAGAGCAAAGAGAGCTATATCATGCTGCTAGAATGATCCAGAAAGCCTACAGAAATTACAAGGGACGTCAGAGGCAGGAGGAAGCTGAGAGACACGCCGCTGTACTCATTCAACAATATTATCGTCGACATAAACAGTACGCTTATTTTAGGTAATCTGTTTTTAGCTTAACACGTCGCGGTTATATTATTTATTTTTCGTTTCTTCTCGACCTCGATTTAACCAGGCGTACGGGTTCAAGTTTTATCGCATTACAGTACTGGACACGCGAAATCGATTAGTGTGAAGCAGCTCTTAACAGTTCATTTAAATTAGACGAAGTTCGGTCTGTCTTCTCTCTCCGAGGAATCAGGGCTCGTCGGGTAGGATAGGAGGGGTAAACTTTTAATTGGCACCGTAAATAATTCGAAAACTTCAGGAACTTCCTTACGTTCACCGCGGTGTTCCGAATACAAAATTAACCTGGCATTAAATTAATACGGCTCTTGTTTGAGATGAAAGCTTACCTTCGTTGCTTCTTTCGCTCTTAACCATAGTCAATATACATAGCGTGTCTTCGGAACGTGCCTTTGGAGTCTCTTATTTCACCGGTGTTCCACTTTCTCGCTCCGCAGACAAGCTACGAAGGCTGCTCTGGTGATACAAAGTAACTACAGGAATTATCGGTCCCGTCCGAGCTCAGCCAGTTCGAGGCAGCAGGCGGTTCATCAGCAGGCTGCCCATCAAGCCGCGAGGAAGATCCAGCAGTTCATGCGGCAGTCGAAAATCAAGTTAGTATCCGTTGGTGCACATAATTGCATTTCCTGTTGCAACGATGTGCACGCATTATTAGTTATGTAGACTTCTTGTTAGCACACGAAAGGCTTATCGTACGAAAGACATCTAAAGTTCTAAAGTCTCCCTCTTCTGTGTGTACTAATGCAGCTTGTCGTGGGACGATTCACGACCGGTAAGTAACGAAAACAAGTAGGGCGATTGTCGCGCGGCAAACACTGCTCGTTTATCGCTCCCGTATCTTTTCGAAGGATACCTACTCGCTCTTTCGCTTTCACCAGGACGATCAGTGCACCCTGTTTCACGACACCGAATAAAGAATCTATTGTTTCCGAATATGAATCATCTTGATTAGCTTCTGTGTTATTACGGAATGTAACCGGTGCTTTGTGTTTTCTGTTTTATATGTCTTAATCGTGTTTCTTAACGGAGAGTAACCAGTTTATGCAACGGTCCTCGTAAACGAAAGCTTCTCATAGAGACGAGAAGATATATTCTCTTCGATTATCACTTTGCTTCTCCTTAAAATAGTTCGAGGAACCGAACGACAGAATGAAATTGTATTTATATTCATCGAGAGGATGTCTTTGTAGTACGAAGTACTTTGATTTTCAAGCAAAGTGTTAATCGCAGTTTCATCGAATTAGATGCGCTCGTTTGTTTCGTAGTTGACGTGTTCTTCAGAGTGCTTGATCATTCAGTGTCATGTATGCACATTTGCAGTAAGTTAGCAGGGTAAATGTGATCTACATGAATGAATACGTTTCTCGAACTAGGCTGCAGAACGCCAGGGCCGTCGCAAACGGGAACGGGAGGCCGCCAGTGGGCATTTTACGGGGGGTTGCTGTCCCCCAAAGCTCGCCCTCATCTAGCCCAGGGGCCAGCCTAGTAGCCGCCAACCAAGAGGTCACTTAATTGACTGTCGATTGAACGGTACGCAGAACGGTGACGATACGTCGAAACCGAAGTAACAGAGCCTAGCCATCCACGATAACGGTCGTTGCCTGGTACGCTACCACGGAGTTATCGTCCGAAGTCCGCGATTGACCGATCGGCATGGATACGCCTTGCTCTCTATATCCCTGATTAATGTGTACCTGCCTTTTCACCCAAGAATCTTTTCACGTTTTGCATCTTCGACACTCACAGCCTTTAGCCAAAGGATTGTTTCTTCATACTGATCTAGTTTTTCTTTTTCGTTTCGTTTCACTTTATTCGATGCTGCGTTTTTATTCATATCCATTTTCTTTGTCCGTTTCCGTGGTCGACGTGACTCTAAGTGGTATCAGAGGTAGGTGATTTATCATGCTCTTTCTGTCACGTGTGACGCACGTGGAAAAGGCGATTCAAGCATACTAGATTATGTATGAATTACATACAACTAAAAATCGTGTTAAGGATCGAATCGATCGAAGCATGTTCGTAGAATTGCAAAGTTGCCTTCCGCTTGAGGCATCGATTGTCGAATACTTTTTACGACTGAGAGTACAAAAAGAGGCTATCTTGCACCTTTTTTTGGGGACGATTATACTTGCATTGGTTTTTGACATACTGTCCTAATCAGTTTTTACCCACTTTCTTCATGTTTGCAAACGTAGTACCGAAATCGAACGAGCCGTTCCCAGGGTATATTTTTTTTCGAACCTTGTCAATGTGCTCTGTTCGAGAAGCGTATCTTACGACTACGTTTCTCTTTCTTTTTATTTTCTCGTATTGCTAATTGTAAGCAATATTAGATTTGATTTTAATAGCAATGAGAAAAGAGCAGTATTGTTTAAGACTTGCAAAAATGTGGTTCAAAGAGAATTTTTTCTTTTTCTTGCTGTTTTTTTAAATAATTTATATATTCATAGACTTTAACTTATGTTAGATACGAATTATCGTTGAAAAGAAACTAGAATATATTTTGTGTGTTAATTTAAACGAAAACGAAATACTCGATTTGCTTGTTTTCTTTTTTGTTATTATTTTGTAACGTTTAATTATGCAACGTTCAGGGGAAAACGGAAACCGAGGAGTAAGTTTTTATTTATAGCTGCCATATAAACGCTTTACCTTATTTATTTTTCATGAAATTTACGAATTAGAATAATTCGTGACGCGTGTGATTTATTTACGATCGAGCATGATATAAATGTTCCATTGCCGTGACGACACTGTGCAATATTTGTTGTTACGTGGACGCTCTGAAGATATTGATAATTTATATAATTAATTTCTTCCTTGCACGGCAACAGTTTGTTCGTTGTTTTCAAACAAGAAAGGCAATACAATTCAGGTGGATAAATAAGAAGTGATCTTATTTTCGATGAAATCTTGTATATCTGAGATCTTAAGAAGAGAGAGGAAGAGAGCATGGACGAGTGAGCGTGTGAAGAAGAAAGCTGCTAGAGAAAAAGAGAGAACTAGGGAGAGTTTAATGAAAAAAGTGTATGAATTAAAAGTAACAAAAAGTAATACGTAAAAAAATTAAAGAGCCCTTTCTCCGTTTATACGAGGGGGCACTTCATCCACGGGCTGTGCTTAAAGTCACAGTATAATCAACTTAGTAGGAGTACATTTTAGGGTAAGATAGTCGATTACATTGTTACAAAACTACCTACCATTCTTCTCTCCAGTAGGGAATTTTTTTAAAAAGATTCTTTAGGTAAATGACAAGAGAATAGAGGTAAATCGAGGCGTAGCGAGGCGAAATATTATGCGCACGGGGGCACAGCCGTGGTACCGCGTTCAAATTGATTTAAGAAGACAAAAAAAAAAATCTATTGTGATAAATTAATGGTGATCCAAGAAAGTATTTCCGCGGAAAATACTAAAGAGAGGAAGCGTTGCGCAAAAGTTTCGGCGTCCCGTTCAGGGCGCGGGACGGGAGAAACAGACAGACAGACAGACAAATCCAGTATGGTGAGTCGGGAATGAACGTCGTGAAATTCTGTCGGGAAAATCTGTCGATAAGAAGGACCGATTGATCCTCGTCTTCGATATACATTACAGAAAATATATATATATACATATATATTTAAAAAGAAATCCTGTGTTGATCCTCCGATGTGTTAAGACAGGCTACGAAGTTTTTGTAGCGAGATAAAATTGTGCGGAGCGCGAATAGGTAAAAGAGAGAAAGAGAGAGAGAGAGAGAGAGAGCGAGAGAAAAGTGAATTATAATAAACTGTACACACGAGTCAATTCCAACGAGCATTTTCATGCCATTAAGCTTAAAGAATTATTAGTTAATAATGAAATGAAGAAAAACGGATGAATATGGTATGAAAAGGAGGAAAGACGGGGGTGAGGGGGAACGGATAAAGGGAAGAGAAAGAAAGAGAATAACAAATTCTTACACTCTCTTAATCATTGTTAATTAATTAATCACGATCCTATCGATACTTAAAATGAGAGGAGTAAAATAATAATAATTATTATTATATACACAAAACTATTATTATATTCATATTTTTGCTTATTACATATTTAAGAAACTATTAAACGAGGGCTAGCGAGTATAGTATATTACAAGAAGAAAAAAAAACGATTAAAAAAGCAAAAAAATGTATGGCCGATGGCGAAAAAGAAGTCTCACCTTAGGAATATTTTTAGTCTGTCGGGCTTGTACAACATCTCCGTGCGTGGCAATCAACTTTCGAATTTTATGGTAAAAAAAAGGAGTATTAACTTTTTTTAAGGAAGCGAAAATAAAAAAAAAGAATTAACTAAGAGGACAGCAATCGGAGCTTCGTACACACGCCGAAATATGTTATGGTGACTTTTCTTTCGAGAAGCGGTTGCCCGATCTCTAAACACGGCGGTCGCGTCATTTCTTCGAGATTCGAAAATAAATTGAGAAGTGATGTACTTGATAAATGAAAATATTTGCACACAGTATTTCAGCCGCGATTAAAAGAAAGTTGCAAGAATCGATCCCGTGGATCAAATATTTCAGAGTTCCCGTTATATTATTGTAGAATCTCATTAAATTACCACGTACATCAAGATTGTCGAGGTATGGAGAACAACGGGATTAAAAATATAAAAAAAAAAACGAGAAAATGCTATAAAAAATAATATTAATTAAAAGACATCGCTAGGATAGGCGCTTCGAGGATACATAAACTTTAAAAATCACTTAATACAAATTATTCTCAAAATATAAAAGTTTAATAAGTAAAAGAATTTTTAAATCTACATAAGAAAGCCAAGAGTCGAAGATGACTATAGATGATAGGAGCCGCATGGCCTAACTGCTGCCACTTTAATTAATTAAATAATTAATTATAACTTTATTACTATTTAATTAAACTCGATACAGATGAGAAAAATATGTCATGCCACTTTTCAAACTAAAACTTTCTAGATAACAGAGGCGAATCAGTAGGTATAGAGGACTCTATTAAAGAAAACTAACTTCTCTCTTAATTGGGAATGATTGATTCGCGCTATAGATTCGAATATTTCCAATTGTCCAGTCTCCAGAAAATCGCACGAGATATATATGCGTGTACGATGCCTCGTTAAAAACCAGCACGACTGTTCGTCTCTAATCGGCAGTGAAAATTACACAGAAACAGCGCTCCAGTTATCCTCGAACGATCCTCGAAATTCACTTCACGAATCGATTATTATTATTCGGAACATTGGCTATGAATTAGCAACAAGAGAATAAAAGGGAAGGTTGACAAATGAGTTGGCGGTTTAAAAAGAGTTATCATTGTACAAAGGTGAAAAATTTTGATAGGAAATAAAAAAATTGTCCACACGTTTATTTATAATGATACGACACAATCGATTTAAACGTCGTGTTGGTGTATTACGGGACATCCGTTAGGACGTTTGTATCACGATGTCGAAAAGGTCGAAACGATCGGATATCGGTGCCTAGCTCATGTTTTACTCACTGTTCCTTGATTAAGACGGTCACTTTGTACCTGCTTGCTGCCTGCCTGGCCCGTGCGTTACATGAACATACATATTTCTAGTCTTATTGAAGTATCAACGCTCTGTATTTTACTCGATGATAACGTCCACAAGTATGTCGCGTAATTTCGTTGTGATAATCCGACGGCGCGGCGCGGCGTGGCGTCCCGGCGTCCGACGCGGCACCGTCCAAACATGCGGTTTTTCTACACGATGATCGAGGAAGCGTAACGCCGATTTAATTATTTATTAAATCCCATTCGATTCGCGCAGAGCGACTATCCCGGAAGGTTGATGGTTTCGACAGCTGTTTCGACATCTGCATCCAGCCGACGTTATTCACGTTCGAAAATTCACGGCGTCGATCGCCTTGGTCGCGAGCCTTGCTAATAAGTACGTCTGGCCGTCGCGTCCACGAATGCACGAACGAGACCGTTCGATCAGCGCGTCGTTCGCCGATTTTGCTACCAAGGCGATTCTGGTCCCGCGAATCTTCGAACAATGGCGGCAATAATTTCAAACAAGTTCGTGCTACTTATAGTAGAAACGAATAATGGTAAAGGCTCCATCTCTTGTAATATTTTTATTATTGCAAACGTAATATTACATTATTAAATTATATTAAATAAAGGATTACGCCACTGTTTATTATTTATTGACTAACGTTCAACTAATATTGTAAATAATAACGAAAATATTTTATCTATATTTCCGATCTGGAGGTGTTGGGCAGGACAGCGTATTACCTCTTGTCTGATCTTAATTGGCGATTCTACGATCGTCGTTCGCCCAGCCCTCTATTGTTACACCATTTCATCATTGCATTTAATAAATTATATATTTATTGACTCAGCTACCTTTTCACTTATCCCCCATTATTTATTCGGTCTAACTCTATATAGCCACTTTTCCAGGTAATCTTAAGCCTCATCCAAAGTAATAGACATGTGTCTACGTACTGTCTCGGATTTGTGTTTGTGTTTTCCCTTCGATCATTATCCCGCAGATAATGGACAGTCCATAAGTGATAGGAGACAGAACACGGATCCCAGACAGTCCGCAGACACGTGTGCGCAGATAATTATCGCTACACCTGGACGGAGGTAATCAGCGTTATCGGAAAGAAGTAAATAAGGTGAGACTTATCTCTTTGACGAATGAGTTCCTTTTATTACTTCCGCAATAAGTTATTTAAAGCATACAAACGGTACAAACTGTATTGTCACTTTGAGTATAAATTAAATTAATTTACGCGGGTATAATGTGCGCGTAACAGGAAAACGAGAGGGTGAAAGAGAATGAGAGAGAGGAGGTAATTGGGACTTTTTTATGCATTTTCTTTTTTCTTTTGTTGAAGCTGAAATCTGTAAATCGACCGATATCCGAGGAGTTTTTTTTATCCGTTTTTAAAACACATTTCCATCGAAATAGGTTGTACAAAGTGGAACACGAAAATTCTATGCAATGGTAATACACCTTGTTAGGAAGTCTGAAACTTCTGGCTAACCGATCGAATAATATTTTCCCTTGAATAGCATTGAGAATCTCGTGGTCTGTACCAAAGGGCTTTCCCGCGCGATAATATTATTTTATTGAACACAATAGAGCTAAATGTTAGTTGTTAACACGAGCAAGCAATTAACGCGAAATTTCCTTAGGGAAACCAATATAAACGTCGAAGGTAGATCAGTTTTCACGCGAAACCCGCTGACCTGTGGAACCCGCAACCGCAGAAATTGAAATAAACTATAGAAATGCTGCATCGATTTTAATCGAAACTATATTTCCGCCCCTTTGGGATCGCTCTCGACCCTAGAACAATGAAAGCCGACGAAAACGAAGCTAAACGAAATCAGAACACTTGGACACGATGATTCTCGCGATCACATACGACGATGTTTCCCATAGACGTGACAGCCACACCCTCCAGACCTTTGAATTCACCGTCACCGCTGCCCCAGCCACCGAACGATCTGAGGTACGCACCCTCTGGGGTGAATATTTGTATCCGATTGTTGCCGGAGTCGGCGACGATGATGTAGCCCTGATCATCGACGGCGACTCCTCGTGGAAACTTGAACTGACCCTCGTCGGAGCCCTCTGACCCGAAAGAGGTCAGCACGCGGCCGTTCACGTCGAATATTTGGATACGGTGGTTGTTCCCGTCGCTGACGATCACGCGATTCGTGTTGCTCACTGCGATGTAGTGAGGGTGCTCCAATTGGCCGCGCCCGTTTCCGCAGGAACCAAATTTCCCCACGAACGTACCGTCCGATTGAAATACCTGCGAAAAGATCCGTTTTTTATCAATCTGTTTCACACGAAATTTTATTACAAGTCCTTCATTCCTTTCAGTATCACGCTACCTTCAGATAAGGGACAATCAACCCTTATACGAACCTATGAAATTAAACAAAATGCAAGGGGATCGAATATTGATGAGAGGTCACGCGTCTAATTCTCGCTATCGTAATGAATCACTCACGCTTCGTCCACTGTTGAACGTCGTGTCTCAAGCAAGCACCCTGTTTCCCATCGTACTAAATTTTTTCTCGTTACTCCCTGGCTCACGTATCTCGTTTCGTTGCTCGGGGGTTTAAACAAAGAATTACTCGAAATTAATCGTTTATTGCAGAAAAAGTTGTAGGCCTTTTATTCTGGACAAACTATACACAGTCTAGGTACACATAATTAAGGGCTTTCAAGGGGGTTAACGAACACTGAAACTAACATCGCATCTATATCATTATCGTATGTTCACAGTACAATGCAGGTAAAGAAATTTTACAAAGCGTCGACTCTTCTTTTCCCTCCCGTTCCCGATCTTCTTCTCTCCTCGATATCGGTACACGACATCGCCAACAATTTACAACACAAAGAAAAATAAATAGCAATACCGCGAGGACACGTACCTGTACGCGATGATTCTCTTTATCGCACACATAAATAAATCCAAGAGCGTCCGTGGTGATTCCCCAAGGATAATTAAACCGACCGTCGGCGGTTCCTTGGGAGCCGAAAGATCTCAGAAAACGACCGGAAGGATCGAGAACCTGAATTCTATGATTGTAACGATCAGCGATGATGTATTGCCCGATTCTGTTGACGGCCACTCCGGCGAGACAGTCGAATTCACCCTCACCGCTTCCGTACGTTCCGAATTCCTTTATGAAGCTTCCATTACCGTCGAATACCTACGAATTTCAACAGCATGTGAAATCCTGTTTTAAAACTATACTGCTATATGCATTTATAGAAAATTTAAATATGCAAAATGTATAAAGATTGCATCTAATGCGTATGGCAGTAGTTAAATGATAAAATAAACATTGATTTTTGAAACTGATATTATATATGTCTTATTTTTGATAAAAATCCAATCCCCATTTATAACTGTAGAATAAAATACAGTAGAACCTCTAAGGGTGAACTCAAGAGTTAATAGATAAACGATGTTCATGCTCAGTCGTGGTTCAATTATTTCTGTTGAAGTGATAGTTACTTGAACACGATGGTTAGAACTGTCGGCCACTACGATGTTATTGTCAGGGCCGACCGCGAGGCCTCTTGGCCAGGTAAAGCATCCGGCTTCGCTCCCCCGCATCCCGAACTTGAACAGCTGCCGCCGCTTCAGCAAGTAGTGACTCCTCCGGCCATTACTGCAACATTTTAAGAACGAATATATTATTAAAATATTAATCAAACATTCCTTTGTTGTACGTCGAAAGATTATGAATAATTCTTTTTAGATTAATGTATAAAGTTATCAGAAGAGATAAATTAGATTCGAATATGAAATTCCTCCTCGGTGCTTTTACCTAGTGGAGGAACCTGCTGCCGCGGGTATAACGAGAGCTGCTGTAGGGGACGTGGGGGAGCCTGACGGGTTTTTTTGATCATCGTCCGAAGATTCGAATGATGTTTGACCACCGTGCCTTAAAGGTAGTCCGAGCGACAACCTTCTCGACGTTGTACTTCCACTGCGAACAAACAGCATCTCTTTAATCCCCGACGGGAAACTACAGGTGTTATAATTTTTACGCGAATTTTTGTGTATCTATAGTTTCACATCTCAATACGTTTTCAGGCTTATTTCTTCGAAAGTTAACAGAGTATATTTATTTCTAATTTCGTCTATTCGGAAGAAGCAATGGTTCTCGTTCGAAGGAACAGTAATTAATTTGTTGAATGGCTCACCTCGATGATGGGATTGTCGACGCTGAGGACGAAGGCTCCTTGTCCTTGGTGGTACGATTCCCATATTTGTTCTTGAGATACCGTGCCCAGGAACTCAGAGCGGCGCCGTCCTTCTCCGTGCCGCTGGCTCTGTCGCGCTCCGGGCTAGGTTCCCTCGATTTCAGAGTGTGAGTGCTCCGACTTCGGGCTAATTCCGAGCCAGCCCCGTACTTGGCTGCCAAGTAAGCGTTCGGCGACTGGGTCGTCGGAGAGGGTGGTTCCTCGTCGATGTCGAGGTCATCACCGCCGAAGTTGTGCGAGCTTCTGGATCGCGCCAGCCGTTGTCTTCTTTCCTTCAACGCGGCGTACCGTGACCTCGTCGACAGAGGTGAATCGACCTCGGTGTCCGCGTCTCGTTCTCTCTCTCGTTCTCTTTCTCTTTCGCGTTCGCGGTCTCGTTCTCGTTCCCGCTCTCTTTCGCGTTCCCGCTCCCGTTCCCTTGCCATCATCGCCGCCTGGCTCCTGCTTTTGTTTAAAAACCTGCAACATCACGGAACGCGGGTTGGTTCGTTCAGATCGTCCTTATTAATCGAGAAGCTTGTTACTTGCTGGATTAAAATGGGAACATAATACATCATAGTAAATGTTTGTTGCAACAATTACGTAACTTAAACGTTCCTCAAAATACAAGTTGGAGCATTTTTTCATTCTACTCTAATTAATTATTAAGTGATTTTAAGTAACACTTTAAGTTATATTATTCTTGCGGTAGATGAACGATGCGTAACGTTGTCGTTCATTCGAAAAAGGTATGATTCGTTGTTCGCGTGATTACAAGCCACTGATTCGTATTTCATCGGGATCACGGGCTCGCGTAGACATCGACAGTTTTGGTTACTTTGTTATCGATGAGTAGAAAACAGAAGCTATGAATCTCTATAAAAGTCTTCGAGCTGTTAATTTCAAATTATGATGTTGTATGATTTCATAATGGAGTATTGAAATATCTCTTATAAAAGATACCTTTTTACTCATTTATTCGTTAACCAGTATTCAATGATAACCATACGTACGTCTTGCTATTCTAACGTCTTTTCTTACTATTGCATCAGTCCAATTATTATTAGTTGTACACGTAACGGGGTCCCATGGCAATTAATCACGACATAGGAAATGTGATCTGTGTCGGTAATAATACATTGCAGATGTACATGATAAGTAAATGTAGAACATTCAAACGATGCAAGCAAACTTAAACCTTTCATTCTGTAAAAAAAATATCCGCAATCTAGTAATCAATCGTGTTATGGTTAACGTGTAGCAAGAGCAATGCATTACGGATCTTAGAAGATTTTTTAATATTGCCTCCACTGCGTATTGTCAACAGCAATTGCTATAGCTAAACTTTATTTCGATGTGCAGATATAAAAAATGTATGAAAATGCGTATATGTACATATTATTTTAAGC